CAGAGAAATAAAAACCAAACGAGAATGTGGTGGTAAGAACAGAAAAATGGCGGTGGGGCTAAATCATGAAGGCAATACTTGCACCTCAAAGGTCTTGCTTGGTTTTGCGTTTTTGCTGGAGTGGGGCTCACACCCAGAGCCTTGCTCAGGATAGACAGGGGGCTTAACCCTGAGCTATATCTGCAGTCCATCTAGAGGGTCATCTAAATACAGCATTCCTAGAACACATACCATGAGCAGTTCAAGGAAGATACTGACCCAATGCACTTCTGTAATGTCTTTTATTGGTTGTACAGTTTTTTATGAAATAACACACCATTTCATTCAAGAACATCCCTCCTGAGGGCTGACATCATATGTCCCATCTATGGAAGCATGGTTAGCATTTTGACAGAATGAAGTGGTTTTGCCTTCATCTCTGTCTTCTCCACTGTTCAAGTCAGTTCACAGATTGACAAGACATTGAACGCAACACACACAGTGTGAACACACAGTGTGAACACACACACACATGCACGCACGCACACACCCAGAAAAAAAGTTACAGTGTTGGCAACTCAAGACTTCCCCCTTGGCACCAGTGTGGAACTGAAGAACATCCTGAGATGGGAAATCAGAGGGGATGCTCCTCCTCGGCACAGAAGTTCGAGTTTGACTTAATTGCACAGTTTCACTTTCCTTTGGAGGTGGTAAAAAGGGAGCCGAGAGCCACATAACAACCACTGACCTAACATCTCTGCCGTTGTCTTGGCCAAAAGAATGAATTCAAAACCATACTTCATAGCATACCGAAAACACACTCTTAATATGCTCTTAGATCAGAAATAAAGTGGAAGATGATGCTACAAACTTCACAAGATCTGGTGATGGCCATCCCATCATACCATGACCTACACATAAGCATATGAAAAAAACCATCCCACCTTTGGCAAATCATTGTCATTATTGGCTTCATGGCCACAGAGGCCAGTGATCCAGGCTATCATACAGCCCTCATTAATGGTATTTGCAGAGAATGATGGATTTCTCCAGAATGAGAACCAAACTATTTGGGTATTCCAAATACTACAAACACACATGACTTAGTTAAGGCCACATTATCCTTCAACTAGGTACACCCCTGGAACTTTTATTAACCTCTATTATATATCTACAGTAATGTTTATATCTAACTCAAGTCCTGCACATGAGCTATTTATTGCCTTGATTTTAAAATTTCTGAGATAACATTACCATTTATAACAAGCTGTTAAGTTAAAACCAGGGGGGAAAAATCCACCATATACAATGTGGATGATAAAAAAAAGCTAAGCTAACACAAGAATGTATTGGGCTGCCTCGGACAAGAAGCAAAGGTAGAAAGAATAGTGCACTGCTGGACAAGATGGACAATGCAAAATACAACTCCAAAGCTTGACAGATATTATCAGTTGATATTCCTAACTTTCCTTTCACCACACAGTGATGAGGGGTGTTTCTGGTTTGGGAAAAAAATCAGCTTGACTTGTTTTCAAGGTGAAGTCTATAGCCCCAGGTCCTTCACCTCTGTAGGTGAGATTACAGGGTTGGAACTTAGATTTAACACTTACCTCAAAGGTGTGGAAACACTCCATGTAGTCCTTCCTGAGCAAAACTCAATAAATTCTACCTTCGGCAGTTCAGCCTGCCTAGTTTATAAAGAAAAAGACCCTGGAACCCACAGAGAAAAGGGATGGTTCTACCCCCAGGATGATCAGCAGCATGGTGCACGTGGCAGCAAGGATGAAGAAGTCAAAGAGGGGACCCACAACAGCTTCTACTCTAAACTCTCCCCACTCCAATTATAAGAGCTGGAATAAGGAATTTTGAAGGATGGATGGACATCCCTCTGTTGTCTCCTTTCAAAATATTTTGGGTACCAAGAAACGGTCATTCATATGAACTTTGGTTTTACATCAAGCCTTGTTTGCTTTGGCCCGAGAGCTTCCTTTAGAATACACACCGTTTACAAGTAAAATTGGTGTGTGACACGGGGAAAGAAATAATTATATTTACAAATAAGTGAATCTCCCATAAAGTCCACAGGCACAGGAAGACAAACACCTCATGTCCTCTCTCATATGTGCATCATAGCTGCTCATCTGTATGTGTGTGTATTAATGAGGGAGCGGGTGTGTGCAGGTGCTAGGAAACTAGCAATGGGCGCGAGAAAAAAAAAGGCTTTAAGGAAGAACGGTAGCCAGGGTAACAGAAAACAAATACTATGAAAATAGAAGGCAAAATACTGGGAGTAGAGGGTTTAAGCAAGGATGGGGAACACTGAGCTAGAAGAGGAGGGACAGAAGTTCCGGGAAAACACAGACTGTTTCAAAGTTTCAAAATGCGGCAAGCATTATCTGCTACTTTGTAAGCTAGCAAAAAGTTCTCTGGTCCATTCTTAAGAAGTTAGACTGTTGGAGCTCATTGTTTCGTAATTGTTACTGACTTTGGCTGTGTGAAATCACCCACACAAGTATTAAGCCAATCTAGGTCATCTACTACACACCAAAAGAGACCAAGACATGACTGAAGAAAGACACAAGAAAATAGTTGGCAGCCTGGTCTAAGCTCAGTTTACAGATGACACAGGAAATGGTTTCACACATTCAGGAACAAGTGAGTGCATACACCTGTCCTTGCTCTCCATCCCACAAAAGCTTGATTTCTGGACCGAGACCCTGAACCTCAGAAATACACAAGTATAACCTGTGGGGAAGCATGGAGTATGTTGAGATCATTCCTCAACTGCCAATACTGACAAGGGTCAGAAAGAAATCCAGTGCAGATCTCCAAAACTCTAACTAAACTCTCAAGAGAAAAGGGGGCCCAGTTGCTTAGCTCAAATGAAGAAACAAACCATGGTCAAAAGTTTCTCAGAATTTCAAGAGCAGGCTAAATATATGTAAATGGTTTTAAACATTTGATTTTTTTTGTTGTTGTTGTTTTTGTTTTTAGTGTGTATGTGTGTATACTTGCATGAGTTATATGCAGCATATGTATGCAGGAGCCTGAGGAGTCCAGAAGAGAGAGCATCAGATCCCCGGGAACTAGAGTTAGAAACAGTTGTGAGCCAACATGTAGGTGCAGGGAACGTGAGGTTCTCTAACACTAAGCCATCTCTTCAATCCCTGAATATATGTAAATTCTTTTAGCATATCTGCATTAAAATACAAATAAAGCAAAAAAATCCCTACTACGAAGTCCTTGAACTTGATTTCTGTCTCTCTTTAACTAGACTCCCCCTCGTTTTTAGTAGGAAGACATTTCTGTGGGAACTATACCTGAGAAGTGAAGTTTGGGTCAGGGACTGCAAAGGTAAAAACACAATCATGCCCTGTCTCCAAAGGACCTGTCGTGGGATGATGAGATTTACATGGCCGTCAACAGCGAAGCCTTGGGGAAAGGTCTCTGGATTTGGTGGTAAGATTCTTCCCATGGGAAGGTAACTGTGTTTTGAAGGTTCTAGAATTCAAGTTTCCTTTTCCCCTGGTGAATGAAAAACACTCTTTTAGGTAGACTACGTAATCAAACACTTCAATATGCACTCTTAAGGAGTCTCGTGTGTTTTTCTAAGTGTGATTTGTTATGAGGATAATATAGATAATGTGGATGCTGTGTAGACAATAGAGATGCTAATAGCTTTAAAATGTGTCGTTTTCGGAAAGGGGATAAAGGAAAGAGCAGAGGTTCTTGCACCACAGTCGTCTTAGAGCAAAGTGTACAAATACTGACAGAGGCAGATGATGACACGGCTCTCTGGGTGCACACAGACCCACAAGCTCTGAGGTTTAGAAACTCATGAGGGCTGGCAACCCAAGAAAAATCATATCAGAAATGCAGCATTTTGTACGGATCCCTTGAATCAGCAATGTACTAAAAGCCCCTTGAGTCAGCAAGGTATTAACGGGAGTGCCCTGGCAAAGTTCAGAGGCAAATCTCAAAGCAGACAGCATGAATTGGATCACAATGCAAACGAGAGCCCTATAAGATAGCCAGAGAAAAGGACTATTGATCCTAAACTACTCCAAATTACTTTTGGAGGGGGGGGGACTGAACAAAGAAGCCAATAGATAAGGTGGACACATTTCTGAAGACGCTAGACTGGAGATGTAGCCAAGTAGGTATGAATGGTATTGACTGAGTGATTGGCCTAGGTTGCTCAGGCTTCTTATTAACTCTTATAACTTATATTAGCTCATAATACTTGTCTGTGTTAGCCACATGGCTTGGTACCTTTTTCGGCAAGGCAGTAACATCTTGCTTGCTCTGTGTGTGGCTTCCTCTCTGTCTGGGTGATGACTACAGACTGACTCTTCCTCTTCCCAGAATCCTCCTATTCTCATTGCCCTGCCTATACTTCCTGCCTGGCTACTGGCCAATGAGCATTTTATTAAACAAGTACAAGAAACAAATCTTGACAGGGTAAAACCACTGTCCCACAGCAGGATGGGACTGGAGATGTAGCCCAGATGGTAGAGTGATTGTCTACCATGCATGAAGCCCTGGGTTCGCTTCTCAGCACCACATAAAACAAGGTGTGCTGGTGCACACCTGTAATCCCAGCACTTGGGAGATGGAGGCAATAGGGTTGAAAGTTCAAGATCCTCCTCAACTACATAGCAAGTTTGAGGTCAGTCTGGGATAGGTGAGATCCTGTCTCATAGACACCAAAAGATAAAATAGGATAGACAGATGGCTTAGAGCTTAAGGGCACTTACTGATCTCCAAGAGGGCCTGAGTTTAGTTCCCAGCACCCACATCAAACAACTCATATCTTCCTATAACTCCAGCTCCAGGGATCTAATCACATGTACATACACACACACACACACACACACACACACAGAGAGAGAGAGAGAGAGAGAGAGAGAGAGAGAGAGAGAGAGAGAGAGAAATTAAAAGTAAAATAGAATAATCATATCTGCCTTCTGCTTCTAAAGCTAAGTCTGGTCTCACAAGTGCACTGTCGTTCTGGGAAGTGGTGTTTGGGTTTGTGACTCTCCATTGCATGCACATTCCACGGCAGAGAAAAAGAAAATGCAAAGAAGCTAAGCCCCAAAGACACAGTTAATATCCAAGAATGTGCCTCTTCCAAACTAAACAGTCATGATGTCAATTACATAGTAATGAAAAGGATATCATAACCTAGAAAAAAACTGTTCCATCACCTTCTGGGGTAATAAATCCTTACCTGGAGAAACGAACAGATGACATTCATGGAACTAAAAAATTCCCCATTCTTTCTGATTTTATTTGCCTATATTCAGCTTCCTAATAGGCCTCACCACTAAGCCAAATATGGAGTTGAAAACTCTATTCACTGAGTTTACCAATTAGAATTTTATGTTTGATGGTCTAAGATAGGCGTTGACAAACCACAGCCTTGTCAGCTAAGGACAACCCATGCTTGGCTTTCTAAGTTTTTATTGTAACATAGCCACCAGGCTTGTTCATTTAGGCGTTGTTTTCTGATGGCTTTAGATTTCAACAGAAGAGCTGAGAAGATTTAAAAAAAAAAAGTCCATGAAACAGAAAGCCAAAAATATTTATTATCTTGGTCTTTATAGAAATCATGCCAATTGATCAAGGATGACACAGTCTACATTCCATAGTGTTGATTAATCTATATTATATTGCAGTCTATTGATCTAAGAGGTCCACAAACTTCCATCCCTCCCCAACCAAGAAAGGCTTGCAAAATGATGGTTCATACATGATGTACATTCTCCTACGGAAAAGGTTCCAGTTTTCAACCGATTTCCAAGAGAATTATCATTTAACCAGTTAAGGCCACAGAGAAACCAAAGGCTGTCTTTAGCTGCTAGGACACTCAACAGTCTTATAAATGAGTAGAGGTCAGAGGAGAGAGGACGCCAGCATGGCCAGAAGGAAATGCCGTGTCCATTCATCTTGTTTGGTGGCTGCCTCTTCAGAGGTTTGCTCTCGCATTTTCACCCTGATGTCTATTTCCAGTGGCCTGATTGAAAAGTGTCCCTTCTGAAAAATTAAAAAAAAATACCATGCAGGTGACACTTATCCAAGTCACTCAAAGCCTCAATAAAAGCAGGGGGTTCCCTGAGCCAGAAAATCCCCTTCAAATCAGAAACTTTCTGACAAAATCCTGGTGCAATAAAAATTCACTTCACTAGCAGAACACCCACCATGATAAATCGAGTGAATACAGAAATCTTATTTTAAGGTCAGAGAAAGTAACGACCCCTCCATTCTAATAGGAATTGAGAATTAGATATTCATTGCGCTTTGAGGACAAAAACGGTGTTCTTCCTAAATACTCTCAGAAGGTGACCCCTCTGAACAGAAGTAATGAAATCCCAGGTTTAATTAAGACATTTTGAAGTTAAACTATGACATTTTAGGCCCTCTTGACTTCCTCTGTGGTGACATAAGGCACTAAAGTTCCTGAAGAGAATCAAGGAGAACGCTTGTCTTGCCTCCTCTAATGCAGAGACCACTGTCTGTTTCTATCACATTTTTAAAAACATTTTTAAATATTTTATTTTTAAGATATTGCTTTTGTGTGATGTGTGTCTGTATGCTTGTTGGTGTGGATGTATGCTCATGTGTGGGAGGTGAACGTGTATGTGAGTATACGGAGACTAAAGGTCAATGTGAAGGGTCTGTCTCTTCAATCTCTCACCAACTTTGTGTGTGTGTGTGACAAAGACCTCCTCTAAAATCAAAGCTAAAAGATTTGGCTACACTGGCTGGCCAATGAGCTTCAGGATCCATCTGGTTGCCCTCCCCACCCTCGACCTACCTCAGACTGGGGTAACAGGCACAAACCACCACGCTTGGGTTTTGCACGAATCCCCAGGATCTAAACCCGAAGCTCCACGCTTGCTCAACAGACCCTTTACCTCCTGATCCATCTCCCCAGCTCCAGAGGCATCATTTCTAGACTACGATATCCGGAACAGCAAAGACTGGTTTCGATCTTTAATTTCATAATTAAAGAGGCAGACATACCAAAAATATCAACGAGAGAGAGAATGAAAGAATATGAGGGGCTGAATGATTGAGAGCTCAATTTTGAAACTGGCCAAAGACTGAGCAAATTTCAGCATAGCATATGACCAGCACTCACAAGCCTTGAAATAACTCCTAGACATGGCAATAGATTATGATTTGCCAGGAGAAACGCTGACATCTGAATGGCGTGGTTTAAACGGCTACTATGAAGCAGCTTGGCTCAAACTGTTTGGTACACTGAAGTATCCCATACCTTGGCCCACAGCATCAAACACAAAGGAAGTTACTGAGACAACCCACCAACGGCACCATAAGTAAGGAAACTTTGGCAAGTGTGTAAAAACTTTTGTTAGGCTTAGAAGATAGTCAAGAACTTGACACAACAATCCATTTTAACGACATCCATATACACCCTTCTCCATTTCAGGGGACCCTGCCATTCTGATTTCACCAGTGCCCTCAACCCTGGCTGGTGTGCATCGGAAACTCATGAAGGCTTTTACTTTTTTTTATTTTTAATTTTTCTTCTTTTTTAAAAAGTACTAATTCCCAGACTCTACCTGAACCAATTAACTCCAAGTCTCTGGGCCCAGGACTTTGGCACTCATACAGACCACTAAGTGGCTCCAAAGTATACCAGGCTTAAAGCAGCTCCTCTTCCCACTACGGTGTTTTACAAGTTCCTGCCCTGGGCTCACAGACCACACAGGCGCACAAGTGCAAAAACCATGCTCTTTGTTAAAAGCATTTCAAAGTAGGAAACCAAGTGAGACCAATCAGATCCAGACCCAAGAGATGATTTACTTCAAGAGTTTCACTAGAAGGCCTAAGAGGGTTCTGGAGGCTTTTCCCCATTACTTTCTGTTCTCATAAGATGTGACTGGAGCCGGAAGACACACGTGCTCTCTGTCCATGTCAGAGAGAGGAGCTTTCAGATTAGGAAAGGCAGGTGGGGAGTTGAATGAACATGATCAGAGGATAAAACCATGTTTCCAGTGAGAAATAAATAAAATGGCTGTGTCTTTAGAGCAAAGAGAATTGTGCTTAGTCAAACAGGTATCATGGGGTGTGGGTGGGGTAACAGCGTGTGTGTGGTGTGTGTCTGAAGGGATGCAGAGAATGTGCCTATGTACAACACACTTGTGAAGGCCAGAGAACAGACTCAGTTATCTCTCCTCAGGTGTATCCCACCTTTTCTGGAATCTCAGCATGTAACCCAGGCTCACTGAGTCACAGGCTTCCAGAGAGTTGCCCGTTTCTACCTCCTATGTCACATTCTCCACTGGGCCGCCATGCCAGGCTGCTGTAGGTTCCAGAAATCTGAGAGGCAAGTGCTTACTGACAGCCATCTCGCCAGCCCTGACAATGGGTCTGCCTTCCAGCAGAATACAGAAGAGATGCAGAAGTGTCGGGCACACTCACTCTAAGCACGAGCCCTGTGCAAGAATCTCGAAGATGCAAAAAATACAGTGAAAACCCAACTGTTTATGCTTCCAAATCTAGAGGGGAAGGAAAAGAGTATTCAAAGAGGTCAGGGAAGGGGGAAAAGGTGTATTTTTCCTTCTTCCCTTTTTATCAGCATCTTGTTGTCTTCATATTCTAATAATGTCCTTGTATTAATACTGAGTCCCAAAGCAATGGCTCCTCACTAATTAGCAAAAGTCTATCTTTTCCCTGCCACTCATAAAACTTCTTAACCCTAGAGGGCCACAGAAGCTTAACCTAGAGAACCCATGGTGCCTTTAACCACAAGGGAAGAGTCGGTTGTTTAGTCAATCTGCTAGAATTTGAAAGTGGAGCTGGCCCCTCCATGGTACTATAGAAACATCTGACATGACCTGAGTCTATGACAGCTCAGCAGTCTGTTCTGAGGCAGTATCCTGAAGGACGCTGTCTTTCCTCTTCTTCTTCCACAGCCTGTCGCATAATAAGGCTTCTGTATGGCTTATGAAAGCAAGCAAAGCAAGGTAGCTCATGAGTTACAAAGGCCGGGCCCGGGGGGAGGGGGGCACATCCATGGAGGAGACTCAAGATCAGAAAGCTTCCTTTCTCTCTGAGTTCTCAAATCTCCTCTCATGACTGACTGGTGTCCTTCTAATAGAGGTGTTCCTAGAATCTACTTGGTGGGACTTGGCTTAACAAAAGAACACACAAACACACACGTGCACGCACACAAACACACACATATATACACAAATGCGCAGAGACAGAGAGAGAGAGAAAGATAAGTTGAGATAAAAAGCACACCATTTTCCATGATTTTCATTTTCCACTAAAACTATACAACAAATTTGAAGAGAACCATTGTTTTGCTTTGTTTTTTACTCTTTGAGCCATGACACAAGTGACTTTCATGTTTTCCAAAGTTGGGGGTTGGGATATGATCAAGAAAGACACTTTGACAATTCATTCAAAAGATGCAGTGGTTACCCAGGATTGAGTTGAACTTTTGGCACAGCAGCCACGACAGCTGCAAGCCACACTGCACAGGAAGAGCCCCTTTGTTTGAGATTTTTATAATATTCTTTAAAGATGCATATTAAATAACTTCCTCTGGACCACAAACATGATTGAACTTAAAAAATAAAAGCCCTATAAATACTGCCGAGTCAGCCTTGCTTCTGTATCTCCCTTCTTGCATAAAATGGAATATTTCCAACCAAGCACTGAAACATAAATATTAAAATAATAAGTGGGATACACTACAAATCTACTTTACAATTTCATCACTACTGTAGCACCTTGTTACCAGGGCCAATGCACTCATTTTGTAAAGAACACGAGAAATCTGAGAAGCTTGAGGACTCGTATGACTCGCCATTAAATATTTAATCACCTTTTCAAGTCCTAAGCCTTTATCATATTTCATCCATCTAGAGAGTTCATTCTATACTAGAGATTCCAAGGCCCCCTTTGGAGAAGAAAAAGAAAAATTAGGGAGAGAAAACCCTCAGGAAGGCAGGGTTCAATGATCTCAAGATGACTTTCTTGTTGGCGCTGTAATGAACTCACTTCACCCTGTAAGCCCACCAATCCACAGTAGGATCAACCAGTTAAGTTAAGTCCATGGCTTTTTAGTCCCCAAGTATCAGTTTTACAAAAGATGCCACATCTGTCGCTTTGGATTCGTGTAGGGTGAAAAATGGGTGTTGCTGGAAAAGAGAAGAAAAATGCATGGCATTAATACTTGACATTGATAATGTACAAAACTAGCAAGTTAATCTATCTGCTTAATAAATAGGTTAATATCTCTATCGAGGCAAGTCGGATTTTTCATATCTTTTGTAAAATCAAGCACATATCTATTGATGAGCATATCTTAAAGTTATCTCTTTGCTATCTCTAATTTTGATACATCTCGGCTTCTAATACAAATAATTTATTAGTTTAATAATAGAATATTTGTATAATAATATATTATTCTTCTAATAACCTATGCAAGTATGCTATATAATTCCATTCATACAGAAATACAAAGACTGGATAAGACCATCTCTTCCAAGTCATTTTAGACAGCTGCAGTAGCAAAATGATTAAAACTTCATAGACTTAGATTCTTCCACTTCAAGGGAATAAGAACAGGGTAGTAGAACAAGATATCAATATTGCTGAACAGTACGTGAGCAAAGAAGATATCTGTGCCTGATGTGGGAAGGTCATTTGTCAATCTGTTGTTTCATTGGTTAATCAATAAAGAAAACTGCTTGGCCTAATAAGTCAGAAAATTAGGTAAGTGGAGTAGAAAGAACAGAACACTGGGAAGAAGGAAAGTGAGCCAAACGCCATGCCTCTCCTCTCCAGGTTAGACGCAATGAAGCTCCAGCCCAAGAGGGACGTACATTAGAATCCTTTCCGATAAGCCACCACTTCGTGGTGCTACACAGATTATTAGAAATGGGTTAGTTAAGATGTGAGAGTTAGCCAAGAAAAGGCAGAAACTAATGGGCCAGGTAGTGTTTAAAAGAATACAATTTGTGTGTTTTTATTTTGGAGCATAAGCTAGCCAGGTGGCCAGGAGCCGGGTGGCAGGAATGCAGCCTGCAGCTCCTTCCACACGTGCCTTGACATTGGAAAACTGGTTTGAACTAAAACACCTAAGGCCACTTTCCAAGGCCACACCCACAGCTAAGAGCTCCATTACATCAGTCTTAAGGGGTTTGATTCACTCACAGAATAACACAGACTGACTGACGAACTACTGGTATGTTCAGAGAAAATTCAACTCAGAGATTAAAGACTGAATTTAAAAAAGAAAGGAAATTTCTTTGTATACAACTCAGATTAAGTCAACTTAAAGAGAGGAAACTACAACATTAAGTCTTATATTTTGTGGAGAAAAGGTAAGGCAAGATGCAAGAGCCCACATATTTCAAGGCAAGTCAGATGATTAAGCTATTGAGCAATCCTCCAATCTTCAGTTGGAGAGACATACATTATATCATATTCATCAGTCCTTCTAGTAGGAACAGAAACTAAGCAAACAAACTCAAAAGGATAATTCCTTCAGGTACCAACACCACACACACACACACTACCTTCTCTACCAGGCCCAGGTCTCCAACAGTCTGGGAGTAAGTACTCTAGTTTGAATGGATCAACATGAGTCTTTTCTCATGCAGACATGAGATGACTCACTGTTTCCCTGATGAGGGGTTCAGTTTGCAACCTCCATTCTGCCTACCAGTAGGTTTTCTAATTATATTTGCTTGAAACCTGACAGTAGAAGGCTGCATGAGTCAGCTTTGTGGAGAACTGAATGCCCACCCATGTGAGTTTTAGGAAACAATGCCATGGGGGAAGGAACAAAGAAATAAAACCCAGAAGAAAGTAGGTGGTCACTTTTGAGCACTGTGACTCAGAACATGGAAAGATCTTCTGTTTTTGCCCATTAGAGGATATGAGCTGAGTGCTGGCTCAGAGCCTTACACCCAGTGCGAAGCTCTAGATTCAAGGCCCTTCATTCCGACTTCCCCCATCTGCCAGCCAGTGACACCACTTTCAATTACTGACCACTTACATGGCACACTTGCCACGGTTCTGTTTTTGTTGTTTTATTTTAACCATTATACCTATCAGCTTTCCCACATCCTCTTGACATTTGGGGATCTTTTAATGTGCTTAAAAAGCTTTGGACTATCAAAACAGAACATGCCAAACCTCAGTTTGCCTTGATGACCGCTTCCCGTGCTGACAGCCCCACCTTGACTCTTATTCTGCTGTTACTAGCTCAGTCTATGGAGCTTGAGTCCATGAATGAAATAAATCCTATCATCTGAAACCTTTAATTACAAACAAATTCTTTAGGTATCTTTTAGTTTATCCCAGAGTAAGAAAATACTGTGAGGGCCAGGAGGCAAGAGGTGAGGAAGCAAGCAGACAAGCCAATCAATAGGGAAGGTGAGCGTAGCCTTGCACGGGGCTTAGCAATTGAGGAGTGTTGAGAACTGGATTCCTTCTCTAAGCAACGAAAAGACCACGGATAGAAAAGGCAGCAACATGAAGATGGCCACATGGGGCCTTAAAACAATCCCCAGGCTACAGCCCCAGTTCAAGTCCCCCCCCCTCCAAAAGGGCCAAGTCTGAAGAGAGAGGACTCTGTACCAGTTAGGATTCCTACAGTGCCATGGAGAAGCAAGGAGATTCATAGACAGGCTGCCAAAAGCAGAGAAGCAAGCCACAATCACTATTAGGCCTCCAAAACATCCCAGGTATACACCACAACCTCCAGGATTGTAGGCTCAGTTACCCTTGTTTAAGCTGCAATTCGAGTCAATAATTTTCTCAGACATTTGAAGAAGACAATCACTTTGCCAGGATATCATCTAAGCAGCCTGTTTACTATTTCTGGAGGTAAACATTTAAGGCAGGAGTAGTCAAACTACAACCCATAATCCAAATCTAACTCCCTGTCTGCAAGGATTTGAATGAGAAATGTCTCCCATAAGCACAGATGCTTAAATACTTGGTCTTAAGATGGTGATGCTGTTGGGGTAGATTTAGGAGGCATGACCTTGTTGGAGGAAGTGTGTCAGTGGGGAAGCTTTGTGGTTTCAAAGACTCATGCCATTCCGAGTTGGCTCTCTCTGCTTCCTGCTTGCAGTTCTAGATGTGACTTTAGCTTTCCACACCTTTGTTTGCTCCGTCATCAAGGGCTCTACCCTTCTGGAAGTATCTGCCCAAATAAACCCTTCTTTCTCTAAGTTGACTTGGTCATGGTGCTTTATCACAGAAATAGAGAAGTTACTAATATAGTATCTGACTTTTAAATAAAGTTTTATTGAAACACAGCACATACTCTTTTTGCTTTCATGGATTGAATATCACTGCTTTCCGCTTAGTTCATTCATTGTTAACATCAACTGCAAGGCTAACCTAAAATACTAAATCTAAAGACTAAATCTAAAGACTTTTTTAAGCAAAAAAGAAGAACTGGATGATATCTGCTGTAGAAATCAAATGCTACAAAGCAGAAGTCCAAATAGATGTGCAAATAAGATGGGCTTGACGCATGTCTAGCCCTCAATCCGAATTAGGGTGAAAACTATCGGGGATTCTGTAAGAAGTACACATCTGAGTTGGAGTTTTGATAACAATATTCCTTTATTAGGGAAAAAAATGATCTTTTATCCCCTTCGTATATCTTCACAAATTCCTAAACTTGAAACAATAGCCTCCCAACACGTGTTGCTTAGTGCTGAAGTCAGGGAGTTCCGACTCAGAGTTTCCATTTAAAAACCTCAATTCCACAGGAAAGCAGGGAACAGTTATGGTCTTAAAAGGCACGTCCATTTCCAGTACCACAAAGACTAATGCCTTAAAGGGGGATATTGCCCACACAATCTTATATTAGTAGACATGCCAAAACCCCCCTCAGTGTTTGTTAGGTTGTAGCGGGAAGGTAGGCATCACCACCAGATGCTAAGGTATAGGAAATACTTTTTTCCTCAAATGTTTTCTGATGAAATTTTTTGATAAGAGGCCACTTAGGTAAAAAAGAAATGTTCTGCACTGTAAGTAGCTGAACTACAGAGAAAATGTCCTCATATTAGAAATGAGTTACAATGCAGAGACACCGGGATTTGAAGTTCCGTAGAATTCTACAGGAAATCCTCCCTGTCTATCACACTTCATGTGCAGTTATCTTTTCGCGACAGTCAGGCCTCCAATTAATTGCTTTTATGAAATAATAACCCAAGAACAAACATTCAACTTAATGCTCAAATATCACATGGCTGTTTTTATAAAGCTGTTGAGGGTTGACTACTGGACACTGCTCTTTTGAGGGTGGACAATGGAAGCCCAAGGAGTTGGCCTGATTCCAGTTCTTCCAATCAGAGTACGGTTCAGTGTAAATAAACCAAAGCTAACACCCAGACCTGAAGCAATGCATACCCAGGACGATCACACAGGTCACCTTTCATAACTTTTTTTTCCCAATACCTTATTTTTAATTATGTGGCTATGTGTACGGGGAGGAGGAATGTTCATGTGAGTATCGTACCCACATCAGCCTGAAGTTGACATCAACCTCTCCGGAGCTGGAGCTGCAGAGCTCAACCACTAAACTATCTCCATCCTCTCTTCTATGACCCTTATGGATATTCCCAAATGGCTCTTTCTCTGTGCCTCAGCTATCTCAATCCACCATTCAAAAAAGAGATACAGGAGCCTGTACTCCTGCCATGCACTCAGCTGATCGGATGGTGAGGTTGCGCGGAGGATGGAAGAGCGCACCTTGTGACAGCCGCTAGCAGGCCCACTAATAAAAGATCTCAATCAAATGTGTTCTTCCATCTCTCGGAATTGGGACAACATCATAACTCTCCTATGATGGCTATCAATTAACTGCCAACTTGACCTAACCCAAAACCATCTGAGAAAGAGAATCTCAGTGAGGAATTATCTGGCTTGGGTTAGCCTGTGTGCATGTCTGTGAGAGACTGCCTAAATTGAGTTTGTTCTATGAGAAGATCCAGTTCACTGTGGGCACCACTACTTTTTAGGCAGAGGGTCCTAGGCAGTGTTTTCAGAGCAGTGAAGTCAAGCTAAATGCAAACAGGCAGACAACTTGTACTTATTTCTGTCTCTGCTCTTAACCATGAGTGGGATATGAAGACTTGTGCCTTAACCTACTGCTGTCCTGACTTCCAGGCAGTGGTGGAATAGCCGAGAACCATGAACTAAAATATACCCTTCTTCTCCTAAGTTGCTCGTTGTTGGTGTAGCTTATCAAAGCATCAGAAATGAAACTAGAACATCTCCCTCCCAGTGCTAAGATTCAAACCTTAGTCATCAGGATAGATCTGAGGGGAGGTGGTAAACACAAATTCACATAGAGCCTAAATGTTGTATTCCTCTCCCAAGTGTATTCATCGCATATTCAACATCTCTTCTGGTAGAAATACTACCCAGAGCAACAGTGCTGGGGGTTTGTTTTCGCCCATGTTTTACTGATAGGACAAACAGTAAATACAGAGGCAGGCATTTTACCTCTTTCCATCAAAATGAAGACAGCAAAAGGTAAGGAGAAAGAAATCCATCTAATTCGCCCACAGTTTGTTCTGAAAACTTGATGGGCCACATAGCTGGTAAGTTATCTCACTGATGTCTCTGAACTCATACATCCCATACATTTATCGTGGGAATCTTCCAAATTTGAAAACATAAATATTACGGACATAAGTGTTTTCCAGGTTTACCCACGTGGAGAACAGCACTGGGAAAAATGACATAGTCTGAGTTTGCATCAAAAGAAAAGAGGGGGGGGAGGGNGAGGGAGGGGGGAGGGAGGGAGGGGGGGAGGGAGGAAGGAAAATGAGCATAAGCCAGCAAGATGGTTCAGCAAGGAAAAGCACTTGCCGCGTTCAATTCCCAGACCCACGTGGTGGAAGGAAAGAACTGACTCCAGCAAGTTGTCCTCTGATGTCATGTGCACTGTGACAATGAATGGCTACAAATATACAAATGCATGCACATAAACTAAATAGAATATTTTTAAAGGACAAAACACAATGAGAAGGGACCTTCACTGTTTCTTTAGTCCAGTTCCTGGGAATCAACCATCTCTTAATGGGATCAACTCTTCCTACTTGATGATCTACTCAATATCTTAGTCATGGCTACTTCACAGTTAGTTAGTTAGTTAGTTAGTTAGTTAGTTAGTTAGTTAGTGGGATCAACTCTTCCTACTTGATGATCTACTCATCATCTTAGTCATGGCTGCTTCACAGTTAGTTAATTAGTTAGTTAGTTAGTTAGTTAGTCAAGTAGGTGGGTAGGTAGGTAGTTAACACACACCAAAGTGTTCACACTCACCATAAGCTCTGGATACGTGGGCCGTTCTTTGGAATTTTTCTTCAAGCTTAAAGAAAGAAAAATAATCACATTAAAAATATAGAAACCATTTTTCACTGTTAGGATTTAAGAACCGGTGTAAGACTGACCATAACTTTTTTTTTTAATGCAGAGAAAACAGGTTTCCTATCTCGACTTCTCAGAAACTATGTTTTAAACCACTGTGGGATTAGATGAGTCAGTGTGGAAGTGGAGTGTTGGGGTGTGTTTGTTTTCCTTTAATTCAACCATGAGTGCCATTCCGTCCAACTGTTCTGATCTAGAGCCATCGCCTTTCCAAACCTACACGTACTTTCCTTCAGGGTAGCTTCTGATCCCGCCTCCCAGGAAAGAACCAGCAAACGCTTCTCACAGGACACTCTGCTCTGCACCCCTTCACTGCCTTCACTGTGTTGCCCTCCCTTTTCCCCTTTCATACACGGCTGGCTTTGACACGCTCCTACCCCAACCTGCGTGGGACAGAAACCGCGAACCTGAATTCAACTGAGGTAGTGCGCCTTGTTCACTGTGTCTTGGTGGATAAGAAAGGAAGGCATATTCAGTCAGCAAATTATCAATTATTCTTAGAAATATTTTGTGGTTCTGCAGCACTGTCTAGTGGTCACTCGGTTCTCTGAATACCCAGACATTTAATAACATTTGATACCAGAGGCAATCCTCATAAAACTGCAACATGAAAGAGACCAAACCCGTCACCCCTGTCCTCAACCCACCCCTATTCTTTCTCCACCCCTGGCTCTAAAATGGAAAAAGAAAAGCTACAGTTTACTTCACATTAGAGTTCCAGGTTATAGAATGGAGAAAAGGACAGCCTTGGAAACGAGGGGGTGCAAAATAACCTCAGGATTCTGTAGCCACTGGACCATAAAATCATATGCGAATGAAAAAAAAAAGTTGTCAATAAAGTTGAAGAAGCACAATGTGACAGTGTATTAGGTTGCTAGGATTTGTGCTGAGGGGTCCTTGTGAGCAAGAGAGGTCTTGCACACATGTCACGAGCTCTGCTGCACCCACAGAAGCTAATCACCGTGAGGGAAGCAAAGGACAGATCTGTGGGAGGGTGACGTCATTGGGAGACTTGGAACCACACAGTTTTAAGCAAAATGAAATTCTTTTTAAAAATTAAAACGAGAGGAAGCTTTTTGAAGCAAAACAACTTAAAAAGCAGCCTACCAGTTTATTCCAGGCAATGCTGTGGGTAGAAGCCAGGGAACCTGAGACAGGGTACAGGTAGAGGTGAGGACAGAAGTTGCAACCTGGAACTGAGGGCACACCTAGGACCTAGTGACCTCAGGGACCAGACAACCTATGAGAGAAAGTTCATCTCAACTGGGGATAAAAATAGAGCGCATTAGAAAGAAGAATTATCAACTGTCAGCGTGGGGCTGGGATGAGAATGTGTGCCTTGGTGAAATGAATGAGTTTTTAACCCACTCCTGGCTCTGCATACACCTATTTCCTAGGGTCAATGTTGGTGGTTCCCAATGGTGGTGATCCTGTACCTCCGCTCCAGGGAACATCTCTCTATGTCTAGAGGCATTTTTGGTTGTTGCAATTCATCAGCAGTGCTGTTGCAAGCATTTGACAGAGGCCAAAAATGTTGCTAAGCATCCTTCAATGAACAAGCCTATCTCCCATAACAAAGATAATTCATTTAAAAATGCCCTTGGTACAGACATCAAGAGGTCAAGAAGCCTTGCACTGGACTGTGTGCCATTGGGTGGCCCTCTTTATTTTTTTTTTCAATTTCCTATTTCCTTCTCTAAAATGGAACCTATTTAGACGAATCATCTCCAGTTGTTTCATATGCTATCTGCTTATATTCTCATCACGAAAACCTCCTATCTCTCTCCTCTGTCTTCCGAGAAACTAAAATTGTCTAAATTCAAGTATTAGCTGAAATGCCCTCAGAGCATTATTGCCTTGCACACAGAGCCTAGATTATTTTTATTATATAGGAGCCCCAAATATCCAGCTATTGTTCAAAGCAAATCTAAACCTAGAAATTCTTCTTCATTGATTAATTGACTTTACTTATTAAATCAATAAAAAGAAACATAAGCACAACATTAAAACTACACTCAATATTCAAATGATTAAATATGAAATCTGAGGGGCCAGCAAGATGGTTCAACTAGGTAAGGGCATTTACTGCCAAGACTGGCAACCTGAGCTTTATTCCTGGAACCCACACAGTAGAAGGAGAGAACGGACTCCCGGATATTACCCTCTGACCTCCATATGTACACCATGGCTGCTTACACCCAACAGAAGGAAAGAAAGGAAGGAAGGAAGGAAGGAAGGAAGGAAGGAGGGAGGGAGGGAGGGAGGGAGGGAGGGAGGGAGGGAGGGAGGGGGAGGGAGGGAGGGACAGAGGGAGGGAGGGAAGGAGAGAAAGAGAGAAGGGAAGGGAATGAAAATGTTTAAAGTAAATTAAATCTGGAACACTTTTATGTTCTACCTTCCCATGACTAACTTTTTACTCAATCGTAGAACTAAGGGAATGTTTAGCTAAGAGAAACATCTTGATCTTTATATGTTAAAATAATAGGCTCTTGGAGCAACCAGAGATCTTCCAGTTGGTCTAAAGACTTTAAAAGTTCCTCTTTTTTTTTTTTTTTTTGATGTTCTTGTCATTGTGACGCTAAAGAGAGAACCCCAGACCTTGCACAGACTAGGAAAGTACTCTACCACTGTGCTATAGCCTCATCCCTGAGGCTTTCAAGTTTAAAGTAAAAGCGACCTTGAGACAGGACATTTTTATTCTCTATTACAGTTTACAAAATTTTCTGTCTTGTTTTAATCTGTATTTTTTAAATTGGAAAAAGTCACCATAGTTGATCAGTGAGAACGTGTTAAGATTTCTCAAACCTCAGAGGCTGTTGCCCAATTGCCCAATAGCTACTTCTTGACTTACGGCCCCTGGTCAGAAAGGAAAGTGTATCCCCAACTACAGAGTTGTAATAAGAAGGACTTACACAGTCGCTGGCCCTAGTAATGATGCCTGTAATTCCAGCACTCAGGAGGCTGAAGCAGAAGGATTATAGAATCAAGGCCAGCCTGGGCTACAGGGGGACTTTTAGGACAGTCTAGTGCATACAGTAAAACCCTAGCTACAGAAGAAGAAATAATAGCTGGAGAAGGGAGAAAGGGAGGAAGGAATGAAGGGAAAGAAAGACCATTCACTGAATTAGTATAACACATCTAACCTATTCTCTCCATCTTTTCAGTCAAAAACACTTCAAACGTGGCACTAAGAATAGCAAAAAATGCCCAAGATAAAGTTGGGGCGGAAGCAAATTTTCCATGTTTAATAGGAAACGCTTGAAATTCCATATAAAATAACAACCTCGGTGTTCAAAGGCACACCACTTTCTTCTTGGATCGAAGTCTGGCTTTTGAATGTTCGAGTGGCTTGTCATTTTCAAGTGTGCAATTAGCTAACGTCTCTAATTCCTCTTCCAAATGCCACAACACAGGGTCCTGACCATGGCTGACACTCCAAAACAGATCCATGCTGTCTCGGGAATTGCTGGCTTGAAGTTTATGCTGACCAGAGGTTTTCTGCCTATTTGAACTCCCCCTGATCATTTCCAAGAAGGGCTATTTGGTGCGTCCACAGAATAAAAACACAGTGTGCCTCTGAAGCCATACATTTGTCAAAAGACAAATAAATAATCTACTGCCTCTTTCGCTGCCCTTTTCTGAACAAGCAGAATGTGTTTAATTGACTCTTTCATTCTAGCTCCTGAGTCAAACAGTATTGACATCTGGACATCCGGACAGGCCTCTAACACACTTGGGTATGCCAATGGGCTCGCTCTTTAGCTGGGTACCGAGACTCCAAAGTAGGTCTGGAGGAACCATTGTGGCAGCAGGCAGCTTGTTTCTATTCAGTTTCTTGTGTGAACACTTACAAAGACGTTCTAGTGAAAACTGCCAAGCTGCTAGGCCAGAGAAACGGTTCCGTTAAGAAAGCGCTCACCCTGTGAGCATACAGACCTGAGTGTGATCCCCAAAACCCACAGAAAAAGCCAAGAGCAGCAGCTCACACTTCTAATTTGAACACTGAGGAGGTAAAGAGAGGAAGGTCCTTGGGCTTTGTGGCCAGCCAGCCAAGCTGAATGAGACACCGTTTCTCAAAAAATAAGGTGGATCATACCCAAGAAACGACACCTGCAGCTGACCTCCGCCCCTTCACATGTACACATAACACCTACATACACACAAAAACATACACAACACACGTGCATGAACAACTATATGCACTCAAATCCATTCACTATGTGTGTGTGTACAATATATATGCACACAACATAAAACATATGAATCATATATGTATGTGTGTATGGTCCATAATATATATACATATAAATGTGTGTGTACATTTTGTATATACACATATATTCTCCATCTGCTACGATCCCACTTTTGATAAACTCTTATATTAAACCTCTTACAAGACTGGACTGTAAGGATTTCCTATTAGAATTCAGCATTTATATCCAAAAACAAGGTCTTTTTTGTCATGTGGTGGTCTGAATGAGAACTGCTCGCCATAGTCGCGGGCATTTGAATATTTGGACCCACTTGGTGACACTGTTCACTGTTGGGAGCAGTTCAGAAGATGTGGCCTTGCTGGAGGAAGTATGTCACTGGGGACTGACTGGCTTTGAGAGCTTAAAGATCTCACCCTATGACTGAACTAGGGGCCCTCTGAATGTGGGTAACAGTTACATGGCTTGGTCTATCTGAGGAGACCCTGGCAGTGAAACCAGGATCTATCCCTGGAGCATGAACTGGCTTTTTGGAGCCCATTCCCTATGCAGGGATGCCTTGCTTGGTCTTGATGTGTGTGTGTGTGTGTTGGGGGGGGGGGTGATCCTGCCTCAACTTGATATGTCAGGCTTTATAGTCTTCCTATGGTGGGTCTTGTATCTTATCTGTTGATTTTATTGGTTAATAATAAAGAAACTGCCTCAGCCCTCATAGGACAGAAAATTAGGT